GTCCCAATCGACTGGAGCCGCTCCGTCATAGTGTCAATTTTCAAGGGAGGCTCACGATCGGAATGCGGCAGCCATAGAGGAATCAGTCTGATCTCCATCGCCTCCAAATTGCTTACCTCTGTCATCCTTCACAGACTGACTGGCACTCGTGAAAGCCAGATTCGTGAAGAGCAAGCTGGATTTCGTCGAGATCGTGGCTGCATTGACCACATCTTCACCTTTCGTCAGTTGTTGGAGCACCGTCACATATATTGGCAGCCCACCGTTGTCGTGTTCCTCGATATCAAAGATGCATTCGATTCGGTGGATAGACATGCACTTTGGGACTGTCTACTCAGGAAAGGTGTACCTGAGAAATATGTAAATATTATCCGGGCATTATATGCTCGTAGCTCGGGCAGAGTGAGGGCTTACGGCAAGTTGTCATCGCCCTTTAATATCTCCAGCGGTGTGAGACAAGAATGCCCGCTGTCACCTTTCCTCTTCAACTTCGCTATTGACGAAGTCATGGAAATCGCGTTCACAGGACACGATTTAGCAGGTGTGGATCTGCTCCCAGGAGAACGACTTCTTGACTTAGAGTATGCTGATGATATTGCCCTAATCTGTGACAGCTTACAAACGTGCCAAGCTGCATTGGACAGATTAGCACTAGCTGTCCGTCACTTCGGGCTTTGCTTCGCATCATCGATATGCAAAATGTTACTCCAAGATTGGTCTGGACCGCCTCTTACGCTGACTGTTGGTGGGGATAAGCTAGAAGTCGTACAAAAATTCAACTAGCTGGGAAGTTGTATCAGCGCCCGTGGGATTGAAGATGAGATCACGAACCGTATAGCAAAAGCTCGGGGCGCTTTTGCTAACGTTCGCCACTTATGGCGCCGGCGCGACATCACTCTTGCCCTGAAGGGTAGAGTGTACAATGCAGCGGTACGTTCGACCCTACTGTACGGTTGCGAAACCTGGCCCCTTAGCGCAGCGGATCTGAAGAGGCTAGTTACGTTCGATCACCGGTGCCTTCGTAATTTAGCTCACATCTGGTGGGAACACCGCGTGAGCAACGAGCGTGTTCGACGCCTTGTTTACGGCACAGGAAAAGGAAATGAACCGCTCAGTGCCGTCATTTCACGCCCCACGCTCCGATGGCTCGGCCACGTGTTGTGCGTGCCAGCCCACCGACTCCCGCGAAGTGCGTTGTTTGCGTGCCGAGGGTGTGGATGGAAGAAGAGGAGGGGTGGCCAAGCGATGACTTGGTCCAGAGGAATGAAGGCCTTCACTTCTGAGCTAGCCTCGGTTGGAGCGTCTCGGCTCCTTGGTTGGGGTCCGAAAGACGATGAACACGTTTGGTTGGACACACTTGCTGATATGGCTAGGAGCGGACCTCAGTGGCATTCGTGCTGTGAGTTTCTTTGTCCCACCCCATCCCTCTTAGCCTCCTCCTCCAACGACGATCCCATTATTTAGCTTTATATGATTTCGCATAGTATTTTTTGATGCACAGTAGCCGGCTGATAGCTTACCGGAACGATGCCCATCCGTTACCGGTAGCTCAGCCGGCTTTCACTTGTTGCATTTTTCTCCTTTTTTCTGTGTATTGCGGCACAGTAGCTGAGGTATTCACCACGTCTAGCTAACGTTTATATATATATATATATATATATATATATATATATATATATATATATATATATATATATATATATATATATGGTTGGCGGCATCCAGTTTCGGATTTGCCTGCCATTGTGGCCAGCCACAGGACGCCTGCGCCTGCAGAGAGACCATGATTGGCTTGCGCTACACCACCCACAGCTCCAACCACACACCCCATATCCAGTGTAAACCAGAATGGATAAGACCGGGAGGCATGTGAATGGGGGCCACGTTTCATCAACGGAGGCGGTCCACACTCCTTCACAGGCAAACACAAGCACACTGTATTTGGGAATCAAGCGCACACACAAGGCGGTGGCTGGACCGTAGTCCGCTCCACACTGAGTGCATGGAACCGCTCTTCGAGCCTAGCACGGCCACAAGGACCGTGCACCCCGTCCCCTCCAGCAACGACCAACTGTCTCCTGGAGCCAGTATGGACGAGGTAGTGGGTAATAGACAGGTGGGCACCTTGTCAACATGCACATCAAGCGCAGCCACACCGGGGATATCAAGCAACAGCCAATCACTTGAAACGACGAAATGAAATGAAATAAATCCAATAATGCATACAGAGCCAGAGTGAAAGCATTTGGTACACAGTCCGCAGGCCGGCAAGCCACTTCATTATGCTCCCTGTCATACCAATGTTCCAACACGTCCAGTCGAACGGGATTATCCAAAAATCGTGGAGGCGGTGTAATTACTTCCATCAACCAACGATGGTGCAATTCGGAAACCTTACTTTTCACGTACACAGCAACCACTGTTACCTGCCATTTGATTGAATGCAAGATACGGTTCCTGTGCGGTTTTCCTTCTGTTGTCGTCGGGGACGGATACATATAGCCTGACACACCACCGTCCCAACTGGACAAATTTGCTGATGAGTTATCCACGGTGTTACTACCGGGACTTGAACGATCAGTCTGTGTGATTGCTGCAGATTTCAATAAATGCGATACCAATTTTATTTAGGCACTTGAGCTGAAGGACATAGTGACTATTCCAACAGGCTAGAAGCAAAAGTAGATCCTGGCTTCACAAACCAAGCTCGACTATTTTCCACGCAAAACGTAGCTCCACTCGGCAACTCTGACTATTGCATCATAAAGGTACGCTCTAGTATTTACAGTAAGACAAACTCCGTTTCTTTGGCTCATATACCATACAAACCTATTAGGCGACGAGATTGTTCCATGTCGTACATCGCGCGACTTAAACCCACGTTGTCCTCCACTGCTTTTATTGTTTTCAAAAACGACAATTTGTCAGTTTAATGCGAGCATCTCAGCGACTAGCTCCATTTCTGCTTCGAGCCTTGCTGCCCAATCGAAACCATTTATTTAAGGGCAGACCGGTCCTGCTCCCCATTACTCAAACAACCTAGAAGGAATAAAGAGCATCCGTCTAAATGTAAACTGCCCGCTCGTGTCAAATTACTTTCTTCAGCCATAAAAACTGGGATTATACGACTGAATGGCCTGTACATTGATACAATTTTATCCAACAACAACACCTACCGACTTGTGGTACCTTTTGAAAAACTGTGTGGTAAAGACTATAGTAAACACCTAAGGGCTGTAGATGTCGATAAAGTAAACTCTGAATTCCGATCTGCCCCTCAAAATGTCTGCTTACTGCCTTCATTCCGTCCGACATCAGCATCCGCAACTGGTCCAACATTTGCTTTCCAACCCCTCGAGGTCCACCAAGAATTCAAGAAGCTGAAAGTGAGGAAGGCCGAAGGACCTGATGCGCTATCACCAATTGTTTTAAAGGAGTGTGCCGACTCCCTCACCTTATCTTTAACACATCTGTTCACTTGTTGCCTACACAGTGGCACTATTCCCGACATTTGGAGACCCGTCAGGGTAACGCCAGTCTCAAAATTGAAGCTCAGTACACCCGTCCCCATTGCATGTACATCTGTCATGCTAAAAGTCAGAACGACTGCTTATTCCTTTGCTTTCTACAAGCATCCAAGCTAGTAATGGCTCTCAGTTTGCTTACACACTCAAATGCTCCACTTTTGATGCAGTGGGCTATCTCGTTCACTCAAAATAGCATTTGCATTAGTTGCTAAATGTAGGGCAGTACGTCTGCTTTTTCTGGATTATTCAAACGCTTCCTATTAATCACTTATTAATCACAAAAGGCGCCCCATCTGCGGTGTGCAAACGAATTGGAGATTATTTTACAAAATGCTCGCAATTCACCCAACTGAACGGAAAAATCTTCCACTCTTGGTAACGACTGGGGTTTATTACAGGGAGCAATCCTCTCACCCTTTTTGTTTTCTCCCTACACCGAGAGACTTCCTAGTCCATCAGGTTTTAGAGGATGTAAATGTGCCGACAACGCTGTTTCAAGCAACATTTTTCCCACCAACGAGTCATTCTCGGCGCTGAAAAATAGGTTGAACGAGCTTGAACGGTGGTCATCTTCCCGATCATTTGTCCTCAACACTTCAAAATGCCGAGACTTAAGCTCTTCTCTTTTCCACGCTGACAAACATCAAAGTTTGCCGTGTTTCGAGTCCCATTGTTGTTAAGGAATATATTACACCTAGTTCACTGACTGTTAAGTGTCTTGGTGTATTTTTATCCCAAAACTTAACGTGGTCTACACATGTCGACAAAACCTTTCGCAAGGTAAGAAGACTATCACTTTATGTCCTACGGTTCAAGATGCTTTCAGTACCGCACTATTTAATCTATAAATCCGTTGCTACCTATATTTGCCCTCATTGATTGTACTGCTCGCCTGTTATTTTCCCTGGTCTTCTTAAAAAAGCGTTATACTTATTGTCCGTTCGAGTCAGCTTATCACTAAATGCAGTGGAATACTCCGAAAGTCACTTGTAGACTGCATTGGTACCAAGCATTTTGAAGCATGTCATTGATTTTCTTCACAGATTTTAAATGATCCATACTACCCGCTCCACGTTGACTTATCGAAAATTCATTCCTTCTCATCTACACTTGCAAAATTTAAGGTTCTGTATTCTCGCACCGCTTCTTAGCATAACTCTGTTTTGCCTTAGTTATCATGTCTTCTAGTGAACTCTACAAAGATCCTTGACGCCACACGTGATGGTTTACTTGAGTGAATGTAGACATATTTCATTTTTTTCACCATTTGCCTGTCTTTTCTGAGTATACCTTTTTGTACCCAAATATTTTATCCGCAGTTCTAGTGTAAAGATGTGTTAAAAATGTGCTCAGTCGGCTATATCAAGCTTATTTTGACTTGAGTGACCTAACTCTCACGCAACAAATCCAATACGCGGAGAAATTCCACGATCAGAGTATCCCGACAACACAGCTCAGCGCGTCATAGTTTGAGGGAAACCGCCAACATGGAAATGGTAAATTTACCTGCTGATCCTTGAACTGAGAGTCGTTGTTCATTCATACTTTCCAGTCTGGGATTACTTGGGATCATCATGTATTCGGGTCTGATATATCACAAAACAGCTTACAACTAGCCCAAGTGGATATTTGCTATTGTCATCCGATCGATCGCCTGCAACCCACGGATCACGGGTTCGAATCAATGTGTATACGAGTAACATACCGGTATTCCAGCCCGCATTCAACCGCAAGTGGTTGTTTGTTAGCGTCAAATCGGTGTGAAGTTTCTGTGTACCGCTGACACCTACCCTATTCGCTGTGGTCTCCTGGCCTGATTCATTGCGTAGGATGTGCCTGATGCAGAGCAGCCTGTGGAGTAAATCAGATTACGACCTATGGCAGCGACTGCTCGAAAGGAGCTACCTAACCGAGGTCACCGTATCCTTAAGCGATAACTTGATGTTTTCGACCATGTAGCGTTGACAGTGTAGATGTCGTAACTTTGTATGTTTACCTAACGTGTTTGGGCCTTGCAGTGAGTCTTCATTTCCCTCGTCCTTCCATTTTTTAGCACTTGGTACGTTCCATTTTAATTAGGATTGCATGACTATGAATAATTAGCAGAGATCGTTGGTGTGTTATTGTTTTTATTAATGTACTTCCAAGGAAACGCAAGTTTATTGCGTCTAAGGGGTCAAACTAGCAAACAACTAAAGCACTGGATCTATGGGGTCGGTAACTACTGGCATAGCGCGGGTGTGTGCTGTGATGCTAGGCAATAATAAACCGACTTGGACCGGACGTTATAACTTGACACACAACGCCGATACCGGCTATCGAGCTCGACTTTCAACTGGCTACAGATTTTGGTCATTTGTTCATGGCTTTGCTTTTTAACACTTTTCATGAAATGATAAGGTACAACTACACTGGAACGCAGTTCTTTCCAGTGCAACGTAAAATATCCCTGGACAGGTCAGTGAAGATCACACCAACTCCAGTTCACTATTTAGGCTCAGACATCTGGCAAAGAGTATGATTGAAGCTTGCCTCCCGATCAAGTGCCTGGAGGCCACGGCTCTTGCTATGTATGTTGCGTTAAATCAAACACTTCACACACACACACACCTATCCAGATTTATCACGGAAGGTCAAAAGGAGTTCAAACGGTTCACCCTCTCGTTTTGTTCCGAATTCGAAGGACAATGCTTCAAACACATTGTTTTGGGCGTCCATGCTGATGGCAAATATGGCGCTCTCGGGCTTAGCCGTCGTGACGATCTGATGTACCGGCCTTTGGAGTACTCGGTGAAGAATTTGTATAACCAGGCTAACCTTTCTCTTCCAATTAGTCTTTAGGAGAATTTATAGAAAGTTACATGCACGCGTATTCTGGTCACAGTCATCGTTTATTGAAAGTAAAACTTGGGCTACCAATTCCGCACCAACCTTATGCATTTCAACCGGTACCATGGAAGGTAAGTTTAGTCTGTTATTTTTCACGTTTTTTTACAGGGCCTTACGGTTAAGCTGGGTCTACCTAAGCTTACGGATAATCTCAAGCGCACGTTTAATCAGTACTCCCGCATTGTAAGTTTGCGAGTGACCTTTACATTCTGTTTACTTTACACTACTTACTAAACTCGTACTTGGTGAGGAACTCAATGCTGCTACGATCGCGTCTATAGACTTCAATCGGGCGAAACGTACACGTCAAAAGTAACGTGGCTTTAATTCCATTTGACAGCATTTACGACACATCAGAAGTTTGGAGTGTTATAGGGAAGGCGGGATATTTATCCTTGGCATAGCTGGGGATAGAAAGTCGTTTCTTATTTGCTATGGGAGTTAGACAACCAAATATGGTTACAGTAGGAAATAACAGGGGCGTTAGTATCCTTGATATTTCGGTAGTACTTCATCACCAGTGTCATAACTTGGCATAGGAAATTCCACTGTTTTCTTGCTACAGGTGTTTACGGGTACTTCTGCATTGGTCGCGTATGAAAGAAAATACTTGACAGGACCTCTGTAACAAATCTTTCTAAGCATCCCGAGAAAACTTGGATGAATTCTGAATCAGCAGGACTACTTCGGGGATACTCTTCTTAACAGTCGCTTAGTTTTCTGCGTACACAAGGTCTGTCGGTGACAGTTTAGGCCCTTTGATAGATATGTTATCTCTCACGGATGGACGCTCTTCTGATAGACCCTGACATCGCTCACTGCTGAACACTGGGTACAGAATGCTTAAAAACCATCTAATCCCCAATTTCATCTTGGTCAGAATACTTGGGTTTGTAACGCTTGTCATCAGAGGTACCACGCATCTAAACTGAGTCACAGCCAATGGAGGAAGTGCGTTCTTTGTATGATCTGATACTTGGTTTGTATTTTGATCGATAATTCTGATACTAAAGCTACCGATACTGAGTCACTGACAATAGTCCTATCAAGCCTTAGAAATTCCCGAACCTCATAAGTTGTGCATACTAGTATCAGTGTGTTGGTGATCGTACATCAATATTGGAGTGGTGTTCGTTGGCAGCGTTAGCAGGCCCTTAACGTCTTCTACCGGTGGAATTCAGCCGTCCACCAGGAACACACTTGCCAAGCAGTGTATACAGCATTGCGTCCACAAACTCGAAAGATGTTTCCTCGGCATATTGCCATGCTTAACGGTGGCTTCTCTCTCACACACAAAATTATCGGTGTAAGACTGTTACCTGTGCCGCAACTTGGGATGTACGTAACCTTTAAACTTAGACCTGCTGGAACTTTATATCAGACCACAGATGGCAGGCATAATGCTTCACATGAGTGTGAGCAGGCTGAAAGGAATCGGGCCAAATAATCGCCGTTTCTTCAATAATGGGATCTGTGCTGGTGGGCCACGGCAGAGATGAAATGGACGTTGGCCAACCGGAACGGAAGCCAAACAAGGTCTGCTCGTGCTTGCGTCAATGAGTTACTCGGCTTATATATTTGCAAAAGTCTGCTAACAGACATAATGCCATCAGAAACCATGGGTTTCAAACGAAGGTACAGAAACAGTAAAATAAAACACAACACAACAATGTCCATGGTTTCCTCAGAGGGCGAGATACTACCTGGTTGCCCAAGCCGAAGTAGGGTGTTGACTTAGGGGACACCACCCCGAGCCTTTGGCTGAATAGCCTGCCCGCAAGGCAGCGGAGCGAATTCAGGGAATCGCGCCCATTGGGAGCCGGTGACTGATTGCTCAGTTCATACGCCTTTCGTTTGTTCCTTTGTCAAACAGGGGCCCAATGCTCCCCAGAAGTACAGCATATGGTTGCTGGAATACAATGCATCGCCAGGATGAAGCAAGGGGCAGTGACTTTATTTAGTGGCGAGTCACGTCCGCCACGTCACAGTGTTGTTAAACGGACATATGTGGCTTTTTATAGGGAGAACGCTTGCCAGGCGTAAACCCACCACGTCCTGGAACACTGCCGCCGAACCATTTGCTGGAACGGGAAAATCCCGAACCACCCAGCTGGCACCACGAGGAGGTTGTTCGGCAAGCCAGCCTACTCGGCTTACGATAATGGCATTGCAGTTCGGAATTGACTTGGCTTAGCACGATCGACTCTCAGCACTTGTTTCAAGTGTTTATGGTATGGATTGACGCGTGCGCCAGTCAACAGAAAGCCAGCTTGGGCCAACAAATTGTACTGGTTGTGCAGTTTAGGAGTGAAGAACAAGCCAATGTGCAATGTGAAAGACCACAATATTCTTGAATTAAAGCACCCTGATTAGTGTACAAACTCTGCTCTGACTCTTGGAGGGTTTCAAGGAAGGATAGAAAACCTCGGAAGACCTGGAAGGATTAGCCAACAACTACCAGCACCTCAAATAAATAAGGGCTATCTTCAAGCAGGGAGAACCTCACGGTATGGGTTCAATCTTCCCGCATAACACGAATGCCTGAAAAATCTCCGCTGGAGTGACTGTTGGAGCGCCCTGAGTGTCCGTATTTATGCTCCGACCATGACAGTTGGACACATTTGGGACGAAATTCGGTCACTCAGAAAATTTTTTCCAGCGTACCCTTAACACATATTGTAAGTGCATAGTTTTCTGGGTGCAATTGCTGTCAACAATAAGTGGACATCTGGCCTCCAAATTTTAATTACGCAATGCTGGAAGAGTACTGTCAAATCGAAAACTAGTCCATAGTGTGTCCAAATGGGACAGCTAGGGGTATATATGAGTTCACTATCGGCGACAAAAGAGTCTCTCGTGCTGACTAAACTTATGAAGTAATTAAAAAGTAAAGACTCATGGGCAATGAAAGGCGGCGTTAAAGATGTATACTATTATTTTGCAAACATAGCTGGACACATCATACCATTTATATTAATATTCACTTCCTGCTTGCGTGAGTGATCAAACGCACGCCGAAATGGGACGGCCGGCCGTTTATCTGTGCGGACAGGGTTAGTGGCCCACTTTGCATGCAACCGCTGAACGCACTGCACCTGCCAAATCGGCTACATCCTGTCATTGGTTTGGACCTAGCCCATGTCACCGATCTGCTGCACGCCATTGTAGCCAATCCGTACCATAGTACACTTACTAGAACAGAATTTGCACGCGTCTGAGTTACCAAAGTGAGCGCTGGCAGTCAACGGACACTTGAACGATTGAATAACTTGTAACGGGAATCGACCATTCGGAGATAGAACCACGAACTTGGTTATGACACTTTTAATAAAGGCACAAAATGAGGTGGAGAGTCCTGAGAAATTGGCTAACTTAGCTACATTGGTTTGTTTGCACAACACCATGATCTGTGACTTGACGAAATGAGTTCGTTTTACGTCGCATAATCGTTGTGTTTGCCTCTGTGTAAGTTCCCAGGGAACAGGAATAAAACATCAGCTCCTCTTACTGATGGCCACTGTCGTGTAGCCTTCCGAGAGTAAAAATAAAGCCTGGACAATGATTAGAATCTCTTAAACGGCGTGCAGCAGGTCGTTGCAGCACGCCGTAAGGCCGCACTCTATCTCGGCCCTCGCCTCACCCGCGGTGGACATTCCAAATATCCTCACACATACTTGCACGTGCGCTCTTGCGAACAAGTCCTACGAGCGCTACTCAATACCTTCCATCTCAAGGATCAAAATGATGTAGATCATCCAGTTGCTCCAGTTCGCAGTTTCGGCACTTTCTTTGTCGAGATCAATGTGTGTAATTACACCATCTCTGAGCTGTTTGGGAATAACTTTAGTCTCATTTGGAAGAAGAAACTAAGGACTCCAACACGACACACAACCATACCTGCAACCTGCAGCGTAACAAAGTTACGGGACATGTTGCGTCGCTTAACGACTAAACATCGCGTCCGAGACGTTTAGTGACGCTTGTCCTCGCCCCACCTGCACCGTTGCGCAACGCGTGCCGATCAGTACACGCCGCGTCTTTGTGTTGGTGTGTGCTCATAACCGCGAGACGACCGATCGCTTGCTCCGGCAAGCTGCATTCGACCGCGGGACAGAGAGGCGGTGGGATAGCAGCCTGTCTCGGCAAATTGACCTTGGCGCCGGAACAAGCAATCTAGGGTCCACGGTCAAACTAACCAGCAATGCGTTCACGTGACCTGATGGGCACGAGTGGCAGGCCCGCAGTGCTTAAAGGCCCACTGTGGAGCGCGTAATAATATGGCCAAAATAGGGAGTTGATGTTTTAATTGTTCCACCTATTTCCATGCCAGATGCAGGGACAGCAAAGCAAACGAGTTTAGGCTGATCAGCAGCAAGTCAGGCCCATTTTGGTTTTGCGTGAAACTAAATACCGTCCCATTAGTTAAGACCGTAGTTACACTATCTCAGAAGTATGATAGGATGGTAGTTGTTGAGCAAATGTTGGAAGCCAACATGGCCTCAGTAGGAACAAGCGCTACAGGATGTTTGACACAGGCCTCACCACCAAACTTCACTGCAAGCGAAGTTCCCAACACCAGGTGTTACTCTAAGCAAATGATTACTACTCTAAATTGCTCAAGCGTTCCCGAACCATCCACCACTAGCCCACTTGCAACAATTTCCCCCAAACCCATTATTCCCACCAGGTTGAACCGAAACGCAAGAAAAAAGCTGGTAAGCGACAGCTGGACTGCAGTTGCAACCAAGAGCAGTTGCTGTTTCTACTATCACGCCAAAGACTAAGATGAAAAGCAACGCTGCACTGATGCATAGCAAATCGCCCCGTTCCCTAACCACGACCCAGACTCCTCTGAAAGATAATCAGAAACAATGGGATGAACTAGCACTTATATGTACTAACGTTCCAAAGTCAACAGCGACTTAATTGAAAGGGGAACAGGTGGATGACCTGAGCCAATGGAACACCATAAGGGACCTGCTCAGTATTGGATTAAGCCCTCCAAGTTAACGAGGATCACCCGCCACCCGAATTCTAAGCACTATGGTTAACTCAGGCTTCTTCGGATTGTGCTAAACTCAGTCGATGAGGTGGAAGCAGTGTTGCTTTCGACAGCCCGTCTCCAGAACGGATCCTGTTTGACCCGCGTCCTTCCAGACGTTCAATGGGGCGAGCGCAAGCGA